AAAAAAGAGTGCTTTCCTTTTGATGGCTGCATATCCCATAATGTGAATATTCAACAGTTTTTTGAACCTTTGGGTCCATGGATATAGGTTTGGAATTAGCTGGAAGTGGGCTTGAAAATGTATCATCAAAGCAGTGCTGGACGTGTGGCAGGCACATCGTGTTATGAGAGGCCCTCTTCCAGGTGCTCTGCTCTTCCTCTGCTCACACCACACTGTAGGAATCTTGCAACACTTCATGCTATCTGTCCTTTTAAATTTTGTTATTCTTGGGTATTTCACAGTACATATTTTTATTGCCCCTAGTGCCACTTTCCTGTCTTTCAATGTGGCATGGCTGTTCAAAACTTCTATTTCTGTCAGGTTTGACTCCAAGCATATGCTGGCTTTACAAGTTGGGAAGTGTTTTGCTACAATCACTTTCCTGTGTATCACTTGAGATTTTTTTTTCCTTACATGTTTGGTAGAATTCAATGACAAAGCCATTGAGCCAGAGGGGCATGTTTTTTGTTTTGCTTTGTTTTGTTTCGTTTCATGGGCGAGTTTCAGTGTGAGACAGCCCTGAGCCGGGGCTGAAAGCTGAGGAGTGATCCCTCGTTCCTGATAAGGATTGATGGCTCCTCCCAGCCTTCCCCACGCTCATTCATCACTTGGCTCATGCTTTCTATGTCCTGACACAGAAAAAACACAGAGAGCAGCTGTGAGTGTGCCTCTGTCTCTCTTCTCCCTTAGTTCTGACAGTTTCACTTTCCAGTGTCAGGGCTCTGGCGTCAGACACCTTCTCTGAGTCCCCTGTAGTTTGGTACCGATCCTGCCATGCCAGCTCTGCATGCCACTATTGTGTGGCATTATCTGTTTCTGTCAGTGAATTCTAATCCTATTTGTTTTCTTAAATTGAAAGTCTGAAAAGCATTTTAAGTGCACGTCTTTTAGACAACAGACAGTTGAGTCTTGCTTTTCCATTTAATATAACAATCTCTGGTGCTTAGTTGGATTGTGTGGCCTTTTAGTAGCTGGCCTCTGATCCAAGCAGTCATCTCGTTACATCCTGTCTACATGCAACTCCTCTTCATCCTGCTGTTGCTACTCCTTTGCCTCCTCTGGAGATGGTTGCATGTTCTGGAAGTCTACTCCATTACTTTTGCCAGCTTCTGTGAAAAAGCGATTCTTCGGGGCCATTGCTTCTCCTCCACTGAGCACAGCCTGTGTGAGATCATCTAAGTCACTTTTCCCGACACTTTCCAGTTCACTCTCACCCCACAGAGGTGCAGACCTCATGTCCATGGGACTTCACACCACACCCTTCCCTCGCCTGTTGTCAGCTGTTCTTTCACGTGAGTAAAATAATGGGCTCCAGTGTTTACCCTATATTTTCCAGTCCCAGGGTCTCTTTTTCATTTTCTCCAGGGCAGAGACCCCACCTAGAGAAAAATGTATCTCAGCCTGACAAGTTTTTCACTCTTCCTGGGAGCAGGGCTGTGACTGACAGGATGTGCTTAGCTTTGCTGATGCGAAAGTGAGCCCACTTCACTCTGTTTTGGAAACTGTTTTCACTAGTTACTGGATGCTGGACTGGCAGCTACAGTTCTTCTTTAAATGCTTTGAAAAAGTTTCATTTTCTTCTAGCTTCTGGTGTCTGATGAGAAGTTGAGTTATTGTAAGTATGGTTCCCCTGTGCTTTGTTCCTCCTTTCTGTTTTCAAGTTCATATCTCTAATTTTGGTTTTCAGCTTTTTGATTATGATAAAATGAAGCTTTCATCAAATTTTGGGAAATTATTATTCTTCAGCTATAGTCTCCTTTTCCTTCTAGGACAGGCTGCATACACACATAGCATGGGCTCTTTTCTTTTGCTCTCCCCAATCTGCTGTCACCTTCAAACAAAACTTTTTTTATTTCAGTTACTATGGTTTTTAGATTTAGTCTCTCCATTTTCTTTCACTTTCCATTTCTGTGTGGAGATTCCCTATCCATTCATTAATATTCTCTTTTTCCTTAATTTGGGAACATGTTTACCATATTTATATTATACTATCTGCTTTTCAGGATTTATTTGCTAAACCAACTGCTGACACATCTGTGTCCTGAACATGAACCACATCTTTCTGCTGCCTTGCCTGTGTAGTAATTTTTACTCAGTGGGGAATACACTATAACTGTTGCATTTTGTTATCTTTTTTCAGAGAAGTGTTTGTTGGTTTTTGTTCTAGTTAGCAATTAGGTTGTTGGCTGCTTGATTTAAAATCATGTAGCGTTATTTTATGTTCTGTCTAAGGGCATCTCTGGAGACCCAAGGTGCTTCCCAAGCCCACCCTCAGGCTCTAAATATGTCTTCCCTGAAGAGCTCATGAGGCTGTGGTTTGAGATTTTGTTTGGGCAGGTGCTCTACCTCCTAGGCTCAGTGGGCATTTCATAGGCCTCACCTTCTCTGTCATTTCCAGGAGGCTGTCTTAGGAGGGTGTTGGGCTGCTGTGACTGGCTCTTTCCTGAGTTTTCCTCTCCCAGAACCTGGTATTTATGCCTGGAAACAGCTGTCTCCTGTATTTGGCCCAGATTTATGGATGCAGTGATTGGTGGGGTGGTCCATTGGGAGCTACTTTATCGTAGTTAGAAGCAGTAGTAATAGGAAATTACTAACAAAAGCTTTTCACTGGGCGGACTATCAACTCATTTCTGGAGGAGATGGACTCTACTTTTTTAGTCTGGTGGCTATGGTTTTCATTTTTGTCCTTCAAGGGCTTTTCTCTGTGTGCTGCTCCTGGCCAACTTCACCACCATCCTGGGTAATCCAGTTCTAGGAGTTTTACATGTGGGGTTCAGTGTGTACACATCACCCATTTTCTGGATACTGCACTTCTTCCCTGTGGACTCACTCCACGTTTTTTATTTGGCTTCTTTTTTCTTGGCCCCAGGCCATGTGAAAACAGTTCAGTTCTGGCTGCTGTTTGAACCTGTCGGCAGTGTCTGTGGACCCTGATTCCCTGGCCGGGAGCATACTTGGCTTTGACCATGTCCTTCTGGCATCTGCATGGTGCCCTGGGATCCTGGATCCTGCAGGAGTCCTGGCTGACACCATGAGCTTTCTCTCCTTGTGCATGCAGCCTCACAGTGTTCCTCATCTTCCCTGATCTATTCCTGATTTCCTCTGAGATTACATGCATATTAATGTCACCTCTCTGATATGATGAAAAGTCTGTCTGTCCCTGGGTCCTGTAGAATCCTTACTCTGCAGTATTTTGGGGTATGCTAATACTGTGTCTTGGGATAGTGGTTGAGGTGGCCCTCTCTCATGCTATTGGCAGCAAAGGCTTCACTCAGGCACAAGGGCTTCTTCAGGGTGGGGTTCAGGGGCTGTTATGCCTACCACAGTAGTGACGCTAGGAACCTCCCAGGAGATAGAGGTGCATTTGTGTGATGGACAGCGTGGGGAGCAATGGTTTCTACATGGCTTATAAATACTGCTTCCTCAGGAGCTCATGTCACAGAAAGGCTCACCAACATTCATCCATTTTCCACCTGCCACTCCTTATCAGCTCTGCTCTGAGTCTCCAGTGGTCCGCAAGGACTGTCCCTTTGGCTCCCTGTGTGAGTCCTCAGAGCAAGGCAAGGTATGATCAGAGAAAGCCAGGGGCACTGAGAGGCCAAGGCATCACCTGCCTCCTTCTGCAGGGTGGGTGGCAGCCCTGCTCGGTCATCCAAACAGCCTCTTCAAACACATGTGCCCATCTTCCAGCCTCATGACCCTGCTTCGCTGCCAAGTGCACATGGAAATGGCGTGCATCGAAGAGGATGAGGACCGCCTGGAGCCCGCCATGGAACATCTGCAAAAGGCTATGAGCCTGGACAGCCTGGGTCTCTACCAGGACAAACTCAGGACAGCCTTCAACCGCCTGCGCCTGTGTACCATGTTGTATCAGTCTCCAGAGCACGCGGAGGATAAGGCCATCATGGCCATTGAGCAGGTGCAGACACAGCCTGTTGTGGGGGCTAGCTGAAGAGGGAGCTGGAGGGGATCCGTGCAGACTCAGCGCAAGGCTGGGGCTGAGGTGCAGGGTGCGGTAGGATTGGAGCTGATTGGGGCCCACCTGACAGCAAGGAGGCCAAGGTGGGCTGCTGTGCCTCAGGGAAAAATCCCAGGTGTTTCTCTGAAGGCTGAGAATATCCTCAGAAGGACTGAAGAAAAGGACTGCTTTAGACAATGGGCTCATCAAATTGGCCCTTCCTTTTGCAGGCAAAAAAAGTTATGCCAAAAGACAGTGTCAGGAAGAAGCGGGCCCTCCTGGTGAATGCGGGCCTGGCTCTGGCCCCAGACACCTTCCAGATCGTGCTAGATAGTGAGAACGAGGCCAAAGGTAAGCGCTGCTCTCTACTCCAGAACCTGGAACATTCCTAATTTAAGTCTCCTGCACTGTTTAGGAGACACTCTGGTCCTCATGCTATCTTGAGCCCAAACCAAACAAGGGCAGGACCACAATAAGCCTTTCTGTGCCGTGAGCCTGCACTTGATGTCCCTGACCGCTTCCTTAATATGTTGTGTCAGGTCTCCTGAAGCACCACACAGCAGCTTTGTCCACACGCTGCTGCTATACAGTCCAGGGGCTGAGACAGGCTGCGCCCATCTTTCTACCACACTAAAGACTGGAAGTCCAAGAAGGAGGTGTGACAAGGCTGCTTTCTCCTGCAGCCTCTCTCCTTAGCTTACAGATGGTCATCTTCCTCTGCTGTACATACTGTCATCCCTCAGCACACCTGTCCTAATGTCCTCTTCTCACGGGCTTCACTCAGAGTGGATAAGCCTGGCTTAATGGCCTCTTCCCCTTCTGTCCCGACCCCATCTCTTAACAAAGGGCCATTCCATGATCCTTAGGACTTAAAGGGAGCCTCTTTGGGGCTACAAGTCAGCCCAAAGCAGTGTCTAAGGCTCAGGGACAGTGGCCCTGGAGTAGTCTTTCCACATTTATTACTCAGGTCTAGCTCTCAGCCATTGCCTTCCATTTACAGAGAGACTGTAAACGAATTTCAGGTAATAGAATACAAGGCTGCCACACCCGCCTAGTGTGGCTGGTGAGCCAGGAGAAAGAGGAGAATGTCCTACCCTCACAGTTCCAGCTCTTCTTCCCCAGGAGCAGTAGAGCAGGCCTATCTGCCTGTCCAGGGATGGAGGCCGCCCTCCAGCTCAGCTCTCTGACATCTGGTGACAGGGACTGGAGCCTTGAGGATGATAGTCAGAGCTGGCTGCCACCTGTGTGGTGAATCCGAGATAAAGGAGAGGAGAATGGAGTGGAATAATGTCACTCTGAGAAGTCGAATGGCTCTAGAAGTGGCCCCAGGAGGTACAGGCACCATCTCTGTCATGCTTCATCATCTCCCGGGTTCACTCTCCCTCCTGAGGTTACATTTCATTCTAACAAATCAAGGAGCCACTGTAAATCTGTGGACATCATCTGGATGTATATGTTTTACTTTCTTGATTCATTTAATCGATAAACATAACTTGTGGCCACCTGTGGATAGGGTGTATTCCTGCCTGAGAGGGTGAGCAAAGACAGCACACACCCTAGATTCAGCCACCTCTGAAAAAGCCCCACTTAAGACCACATGATGCTTTGGAGGGACATCTAAACACAAGCTATGACATACATGTATCAGTTCTCCACAGTGATTGTAATCATTATATACTGCAAACATGTACCAATAAAAAATGGTTTTTGAAAATTCCTCAGTCAGCTAATCCCTTGCAACAGCAGTCATCAATTGTATTTTGTTTTCTGTTTTCAGTTTCCGTTGGGAAAAATAGGGGCCGGTTCAGCTACCTCTTTGCAAAGGCTCGACATCACATGCTCAGTGTGGACAAGGCTGCTGGGCACTTACTGCGTCTGGGAAACGAGAAAAACCAAGAGAGGTAAGAAAGGGACAGAGGAAGCACTTTTCCAGGGGGGGAAAAAAACCAAAAGAAATGAAAAGAAAGCAAAGTCAGCAGGAAGGGCCTGCCAGCCTGAGAACACTGTCTGGGGCCAAGCCCATGGCTGACCAGTGTGCAGGCTCCAGCGTCTCTGCCCTACCGAGAGGCCTGATGGGGGGACCTTGCCTGCTCTCCTATAAGAGAGAACAGGCCTCAGCCCATGTGATAAAATATATTCTGCGGTGAGACTGCCACTCCTATGCATGGTGCTGACTATCAGGACACGTCAACTAGGGCAGACCAGGTGGTCCTCAATCTAGAGAGACTTACCCTAACCTAAGCCAGGGGAAGAAATTGTGTGGGACATCTCATTGTCACAAAGATGGGAAGGTTCAGTACCACCAGCACCTGGTGGGGAGAACCAGAGAGCTGCACCTGAGCCCAGAGACACTCCACACTGACTCACGGACGCTGACCACCACCTCCACCCCACTGGCCAGGGCTGTCCCTCTCACCTCACATCCCTGCCTTGAACTTTAGTGGCAGTCAGAATCATTCTCTGCAACCTCAAAACCATACAACTCTCAAGCAGTCATTCTGGGTATTTTCTAATTCACAACTCAGACTGATCTTGCCTTTCTCCTGTTTGGATCTCGGTGAGCAGAATTCAGATTTGGACAGAGCTGGCCAAGGTTGCCCGGAAGCAAGGGGTGTGGGACGTGTGTCGAGCTGCAAGCCGCTTCTGCCTCCTGTATGACATCAAAGTGAAGAAGCCGGGGAAGCTGAAGGGAGGTACACAAATTTGGGGGGGGGCGGGGTACAGGGGATCAAACTCAGGTCCTTGCACTTTCGAGGCAGGCGCCAGAACCACTGAGCTAAATCCCCGGGCCCAAGGTACACATCTCTTTAAAGTGCATCCCCCTCACTGTGGAGTGGGCTGAACCTCAGGTCTGCACCACACCCATGAATGGGGTGGTACTCGAGGCCCCTCCCTGCCGGTGCCTCGTGGGGGTTGAGATGCCCACCAGCCAGGAGATCTCCTGGAAGGGGCCAGTTTTGTCCCTGAAGTAAGAGGAAAGGTTGCTGATAACACTCTTAAATTCAGAGGAGTCTTCTAAATGTGTGTAGTTAGCCCTTCTCTCCTGTAGGCTCCTTGCCCACAGATTCAGCCCTGAGGATTAAAAATATTTAAAAAACAGTTGCATCTGTATCGAAGGTATACAAACGTGTTTCCTCTTATTTCCTAAATGATGTGGTGTAACAGCTATTCACATAATACTTACATCGTACTACATGTAACTAATCTCAGATGGTTTATAGTATGTGCAGCTTATATGCAAGCTTGGTGCCATTTTATATAATGGGTTGGGGCACCCATGCATTTGGATATTTGCACGGGGTCCTAAAATCAATCTCCATGGATACTAAGGAACAATTGTAATTACAGCTGACTACAAATAACTGTTCAAAGTTACCTTTGGTTATCATTATGCCACCTGTTATTGGGTTGCTTTGGCCTGGTAGTGTGCAGGTTGCTACAGGGCCCATCATTACATTACAATCCCTCTGCCCACAAATACACACACACGTGCACATGCACTCACACATACACACACACACACACACACACACACACACACACACCTGGGTGCATCCTGCACAGAGCTGGAGAGAGGCTTAGACATCAGGGAGAAGGTCAGGTATTCTTCTGTTTTTGTTTACTAGAAAAGAGGCAACCTTTTCACAGTTCTCTTCCCCTCAGGAAAGAAAAGGAAAGGTGCAGAAGGCTCAGTGCATGATGTCTGGAGCCAGTCCCAGGTGGTCCTGCAGAAACAGACATCCCCCTACCTGCTACGGAAGTTTGCAGAAGTGGGGTTCATCAATGCTGAGGTGTGTCATGGAGGTTTTTTTTACTCATCTTATAGGTTCCTGCAATTGCTGATTGGGGTCAATGTGGCCTATTAATCTGGATCCATTAGAAACATAATTAAACACAGGACTCCACTTCTGCTCCCCAAATAAAACTATATGTAGAGGGAAATTTTCATAAGTTCTTGAAAGATTTTCTGGGAAAACAATATGATTAGAAATGTATCATATTGTATGCTAATGTAAAATTTTTGTTAGAAACAATTTCTTTCTTTCTTTTTTTTTTTTGTTTTGTTTTTTGAGACAGGGTCTCACTATGTAGTTGAGATTGACCTGGAGCTCACTATGTAGCCCAGGCTAGTCTCGAACTCACAGTGATCCTCCTGCCTCAGCTTCTGGAGTGCTGGGTTTACAGGCATGAGCCACTACACCCAGCTTAGAAACAATTTCTGAACTATGAGTTTGTAGTCACAGTTGCACAGGACAGCAGGTAATTGTCTTTGCATTTGGGGGGTTTTAATTGGAGTCAATTTTAGAAGCATAAGAGAGAGATGTGGTCCTGAAGGTGCTTCAGAGTCCCTAGTATTCCAGCCCAAGACCTGGACTCAGCTGCAGCCCCTACAGGTCTATCCCCTCCCCCACAGGGATGGATGCTAAGATGTGAGATCAGCCCTGCCCATACTCAGTAGGTAGAATGTGGCCCAGCTGAATCCAAAGCCCACCCTTCAGTCCCAGGTCTGAGCCCCTGCACAAAGACCCTTGGTTACTTTGTGACATGTTGTGGCTTCAGAGTCCTCAGAGCCTTTAGAGGTGGGCACAAAGCTGAGGCCAAAGCACTCTGTGATTAATTCAGTAGAACTAAGGCATATGGACACAATCAGAACCAACCCCTGTGCTCAGAGACCCAGTGACCTGATGGCAGAGCCAGTTTATGGAGTGAGGTAGCTGGCTGCAACCCTGAGGCTTACCCAGCCAGATGTCACCCAGACCCATTTCTCCTTAAAGTCCCTCAGCCTGTCCCCAGGGGGCTTTTTAGCCTTTAATGCTGAAAAACAGATTCACGAAGCAGTCAAGATTTGAAACTGGCTGGACATTTGCTAACATGAAAAGTGTCTGCTTGTCTACAGAGGTGTGATGGTGGGTGTGGACGAAGCTTTTAAAACAAGCTTTTCTCTTCCAGAGATGTGCACCTTTATGGTGAAGTGACAGGCCGTCAAGGCAGACAAAGGTGCATGGGGCTCGTCATGCAAGTCTCTCTGCCTTCTATTTGGCTTTTGCAAAATCAAATCCTAAGGGAAAGATGTTTGGCTGTGTGTTTCCCCAGTGCTAGGCTCCTGCCATTGCCCATGACCTTTCCCATTATGCACTTCCTTTACAGGCCACTGTCCACTTGCTGCGCTCAGAAGGTGTGGAGCTGAATGACCATGCCATCCCCCCTGAAGACTTGAGCCAGCACCCTGCTGGCTACATGCCCGAGCCCCTAGATACCAACACAGAGTGGATCACATACAGGTGGGCAGTCCTGGCTATGGTGTGGACTGAGGGTTGATGTGTCCCCCTGCACCCATGGGCCTTCTTTGAGGGGCAGTATCCATTCTCACGTAAATAGGGCAAAGCATGAAATACAAAGCAAGACTACAAATTGCTTTATGTAGCCATCAGCAGTGCATCCAAGCAAGACCATGAGCACAGTTTGTCACTAATAAGAGGGAAGAAAGCACATGACTGTTTTCTCCAGTTGGTTTTGGTAAATCATACTTCTGTTCATTTTAGTTAGCTTTTCTCACTGTTCACAAAGTTGAGCTCTGGAGGGAGCAGCACCAGTGGTGGAAAATGAAGGAGCAGCTCCTTGTGGTCCAAATCTTAACAGAAAGCTGTCACAGAGCAGCTTGAGCCCTCAACAGGCCCTGCATACAAATAACACCCATTAATTTGCACAGATCATCTCAAAAGATCTGCCCATGTGAAATTTCAAGTTCAAAAAGTATCATGAAACTAAGATAGATGTTGTGTCAACAGTAATGGACTTCAGTGACTTTTTAATCTAAAATATTTTTAAATGAATATGGTAATGAATGAACATTCTTAACATTTATGTGACAGAAACCAAACACTATTTAACTGTGCTCACAATTCAGCTGGGGAAGAAGAGAGGTTATTTCCTATACAGTACTGACTGTTTACTGTACAACCTGCCTGTTGTCCTGCCACAGAGAGAAGAAAGAGGCATTGGCAGTAATTCTATGCACATCTTTCTCGTGGCATTAGAAGAGAATCACTCATCAGTACCATTGCGAGACGAATGAACTGGCCCAGTCTCTATCCTGGTCCATGTCCTGTGAGCCCACTATCACAGGGCAGAAGACAAGGACACCTTTTTAGCCCAGGTGCAAGGCCTGTCTGGATGGGGTGTCCACACACAAGTACCTGGCCTATTTATGTATAGCTAAGGATGACTTTGAAATTTAAATTATCTTTAAACTAAGAAAAATATGCAACAGAAACTATATATAGCTCACAAAACCCAAAATACTGACAAAGAAAGTTTTCCTTGCCTGGGAGGGCAGAACAGAGACACTGTCCCCACCCAGTGGTGCTGAGTGATAGCAAATTACCTCGTGCAGCCTGTGTTTGATGGGAGCAGAATGGTGGGGAGGCCAGGGTGTGAGGGTGGCCATAAGGGTGGACAGGCAGTCTAGGCAGGGCCTCCAACCAGGAGTTCCTTCCTGGAGCAGGCAGCAGGGCCCTCTGGCCTATGAGAGCTCATACTATGAGAAAAGCAGCAAAGGGCAGCAGCCAGCATCCAGGTGGGAGGAGAGGACTGACTGGAGCCAACAAACAGAGGAAACAGTGAACAATGGGTGGGCTGCATAGGTGCACTGTAGAGGGTCTTGGAGGGTTGGAGGGCAGCTCCAAACTGAGGATGACAACAGTGGGCTCCCATCTGAACCCTTGGGTTGCAGATACAACCTGAAACATCCCTGCATAACGGACAGGGACCACTCGGAGAGTCCTCTGTAGTGTCTCATTTGGAAAAAGCTTTGAGTGAAACTGAATGCTTCATGGTGTGCATTTGCAGAACCTGGATAGAAAACCTGTCACATTATGCCATGAATAACTGGTTACGCTCTGCGGAAATTGGACAGGAGATAGGTGAAGCCTGGATTGTGCAGAATGCTGTGGTCTATGTCCTGAATCACAACCACCATCTCATCACAGCTGGGCGGCAGAAGGAGCTCGTGGATGCTCTGTATCACCTCCTGAACATCATCAAGGCCATTGGCCCCCATGGGTGAGTGTGGGGGATGCTGCACTTGTCCACGTGCAGGGAGATACAGACTCAGGCCAGGATCCATAGGGTCAGACCTGTCCCCTGGAGGCACATGGGCTGGAGGGACACCAGTTGGGGTGATTGAGGAGGGGGCTGGGCCTGTGCTCCAGTGACAAAGCCTCCACCCCAACATAACCTCACACCCACTACTGTGCTCCTGCCTGCCTCAGGCTGGCCCCCGTGATTAGAGCAAGTCTGCCTCGGGCTGGGTCACTCAGCTTGAGGCAGAAGAGTGACTGTGCTCCTTCATCCTGGATTTGGGGTGGAGGATGGAAATCTATGTCTATATGTTTTTATCCACATGGATGTGAATTTGTGAGAGACTGGTATTTTCCCAGTTAAAATTAGAAGTTTGAAAACACGAAGTTGGGTCAAAGTTTCGTCTAAGATGAAATTTTAATGTGCATCTTTTTGTTGTTGTCGTTTAGTTGGTTTTTAGTCTGAACAAAAGTATTTTTTTAACCCAGGTATCAAAATAGGATGCTTAGAATGAGTCAGAATTCATAATCATATGTGCACTATGATTTTTAAAATCATGAATAATAAAGAAAATGAAACATGGAATAAGTAATTGCTCAGCAGTGTTTGCCTTTCCCCAGGCATGGGTCCTTGATGGGGCCCATTTGGGCCAAGCATTCCTCTAACTGTGCAGGGCACCCAGGTCACAGCCTTGAGTCATCCCAGATGGCCAAGAAGGGCCAAGGGCGCTACAAGCTGAGCTTCTCACAGCACGGTCATCCTGTCCTGCTGTTTGGCATCTGGAGACCATTGCTGACTATTTCGTGTTTTGGCACTGTTGTTTTCCCCAAGCCCATTCTGCCTGGTAATCAGGGCTAGACCATTGCTTATGGCTTCCAGGACATCTCAGCCATACAACCTTAGGCACAGTGGCTTTTTTGCCTTGGCCAGTTCTTCTTGGGTTCCTCTGACACCCTTCCCTGTCATATAATGTCCCCCTCTGATCATGGAGTCCTGAGACGTGCCTCACCTGAGCAGCAGGAGCTCCAGCTGTGCCCTCAGTGTTCTGATGGTAGCTCCTTGAGCTAGCCCTGAGGACAGCAGGTGACCTCTTACTCCCCTGACAGGCTATATCTGAGTGGCCTCCCCTCCACCCAGTCATTCCCCTACATGGTGTACAGGATGCCACTGTTCCCCAACCCTCCCATGCCCTCACCCCCCTTGGCTTGGTGAGGCCATACCTCTATAACTGTCTTGATTTCAGAGGTAGCTCCTAAATTCCAGCACATGAGTCAAGGGAACAGATTTGGTTGTCCCCAGACCCACAGAGGCAGTGCAAGGATCTTCACTGATGGTGTGCCCTACCCTGGGGGAGCTCTCAAGGCTTGTGTGCTTCATTCCAGAAACTCAGTCGTGTTAGCCATGCTCTGCAATGCCTTAGCTCGAGGCCTGATCATCACCTGGATTCCCACCCAGACATATGAAAAGTCGAGAAAAATTATGAGACTACATATGTTTCAAGCTCCTCTGGACTCAGGAGCTACCTCTGAAATCAAGACAGCTATAGAGGTATGGCCTCACCAAGCCAAGGAGGGTGAGGGCATGGGAGGGTTGGGGAACAGTGGCATCCTGTACACCATGTAGGGGAACAACTGGGTGGAGGGGAGGCCACTCAGATATAGCCTGTCAGGGGAGTAAGGAGGGCACGTGGCAGACCAGGGGTCAGGGTGTCAAGGCCTTTGGAGGCTCCAGACAAGACAGGGAAGATCCCACCCATCAGGTAGTGGAGGTGAGAGATGTGTAAGCAGTTCAGAAAGTGAGACCGCAGGGTCCAGCCACTGGAGAACAGGTGAGGAGTAGGCAGGGGCAGGTACAGGAAACAGACAGGGCAGGGTGCAGTTAGGAGTCCTCATGACTTGAAGCTTGAAGCTGCTTCTCACACCAGGGCAGAGGAAAATGTGGAAATAGATCTAGGAAGGGACCCATGTCACTTGGGAACAGAAATGCAGAAACCAATAAGGTGGTAACATGCCACACAATGAGACTTACCCCATGAAGTTTGCTTCCCAGTAAATGTGAGTTTCATTATTGTAGTCCCTACCAAAGGAAAAAATGACGGTCTTGTTGATGGCAGTTGTAAGTAATCTTGTATAACTTGAAAAAAAAGCCAGTTTCCTCCTGAGTCCAAGGGGAATAGTTAGAGCCTTGGCAGAGTCCCAGAGTGTGGATCCCCAGAAGTGTTTGTGGGGAAAACAGGAACAGGGAAGGCCCATGCCATCCACTGCTGAGATACAGGATAAGCTGTCCCTGTCTGAGCCACCAGGAGGAGACAATAGGCAGGCAAGCTGTCTATGCCTCAAAGGTACCTTAAAGGTGCCTCAAAGTGCCATGCAGGCCCTGGGTAAAACAGTGTTCTGAATAGCTGCAGAGCTTGCTGCTGCACCCTCTGCAGGTGTCTGCAGGTAACACTAAAGACCAGGCTGTGTGGAGGTGAAAGCCAGACTGGATAAAGCCCTGGAATCACAGGGCCACCGTGAGGACAGTGACCTGCACAGGGCTCCTATTGTGACTGAAAGGGAGAGCACAAGGGGCATGGCTTTTGCTGGTTAAGGTCCCAGGCAAGACAGCCCACATTAGTGTTTAGATCTTCATCTCCAGAAGGGACCTGAGGCCAGTGCAAAGGACCACAGGAAGTAGGACCCTAGCCTGGAAAAGGAGGTGGGCAAGTACAGGAAGGGGCTGGTGTGGCCAAGGGACACAGTGGAAAGGAGGAGGTTCCCAGCTGGATCCAAGTGCTGAAAGAGTACGCTTACCATTCAAAACTGTCAGAGTGAAGCAAAGCTGAGTTCAGGGCAGGCTGGAGGATCAGGTGGCAGTGATGACAAGTATGGGAAGAAACCTCACTAAAGTGGGGCATGAGAACTTGTGTAGTAGAGGAAGGATGCCCTATTCAAGCTGTGGAGGCAGCATGGCCCACATGTATTTCAGCAGGGCTTCCTGTGGAATGGGATATGTCTGTCTGGGAGTTTATCCAGAAGCCTGAATGGAGGAGGACAGCAGGAAAGGACTTCTGCTCTGTGGTCTTGTTTCCACCTGTTTGTCTTATGAGAATTGGGTTTCACGTTGTGGCTCCGAGTTAAGTGACCCTGGGTTAGCAAATACTCTGCACAGTAACCCACATAGGATGTTGTAGTTCCACTTAAAGGAAGAAAGTGTGGGCATCTGGGCCTTCAGGGTCCCAACCACACACCCTTGTCACACATGTGGTAGATCCACTCTCCCAGTTTTGGGGGTCCCAGGCCTTGCTGTCCACACTCAGGACTAACACCACACTGTTCACCCTCTTCCTGTGGCTTTGGGTTCATTCATGACTACATCACAGGGTGACAGCCCCATGCATAAGCAGTAAGGATTTAGGAAGCAGAGGATGTGAAGTATCCACAGAACTGGCAAAGACCCACGGGACTGCTAGGTTCACAAGAGCCCTCAGGCAACTTGAGGACTAGACCACCTTCTCGGACTAGACCAAGAGCCAGGCTCACACATCTATTAATGACTGGGCTGAGGCTCAAGTTCCCCTGCTTGTGGAGAGCTTTATGAATAAAGACATGTCCCTTTCAGGTCTGCGAGTTTGCCCTGAACTTGACCAACGGGAACATCCCAGAGGAGGTAGTTCCCATCAGCGTGCGGCAGCAGCTCATTGCCACCTGGGTGAAGGCCAAGCAGCTGCTACAGCTGCAGATTGGGCACCGACTAGGCACGGAAGAGCAGGTGCTGTGCAGTGTGGTGGACATGGCTGTGGTGGCCTGGGGGCAGCTTAGGCACAGGCCTGAGTGGAAACTGCAGTCTGCCTACCCCCCTGTAGTTAAGTTGTTTGTCCTCATCACACCTCAGTCATGATACGGTAGTGGGGAGTATGTCCCATCAAGGACAGTCTAGGGCCTCTATTTCCTCACTGAAATCGCTGCCCTGATTGCTCTTGAGAGTCAGACCCTCCATAGCTCTGGGCCTCTGGGGATACTGCCTACCTTCAGTGCCATTCACAGACCGCAAGTCACCTCCTTGGGCATCAGCCCCCTCCAAACTGCAAATACAAAGGTCTGCAGAAGATGGGGGTAGGGTGAGGCCAGGGTCATGGTGACTCAGAGCCACCCCACATACTCCCCGCTTTCTGCTATGGGGCCACTATAGGCCTGGGGGAGAAACCAGAGTGCGGGCTGGGCAGGGAGCAGTGGGCAGCCAAGGAGGGAACAAAAGAGAAGGGGAGGGGACATTTGGGCCCAGCCAGGAGTGAGGGATCCAGGAGAGACCAGGAGGGCCTGGGCAGGCAGAGATGGAGGAGCACTGGGTCCAGGTCACCTAGCTCTCAGTCAGCTCTGCCTTACATGCTTCAGGCCACACAACTTCACAACCTTTTTGGTTATATGACAAGATAACTTGAAGGTGGACATTTACAAAAGTAGCATGAGGTATAATCACTCCCAAATTTGTGACCTGATTATGCAATAAAAACTCACGGTGCACAGAATTAAATTTATGAATAGTCCAGTTCCTCTGTAGCCCTCCCTCCCCAGTGCCTCAGGCTGACAGATGCTCAGTGCCCCTTCTGTCCCTCTAGAGCACCAATGAGAACATCAACTCTGTGACCAGAGTCCTTGTAGCTCTCGAGATGTACTCGTGCAATGGCCTGGGCCTCATGGAGTTCACTGTGCCCTCCCTGGCCCAGGTAAGTGACACCAGTTGTCCTGGGAGGCATACTAGCATCTGTGTGCAGAGAAAGCCACCACCCAAGAGGGATGAAGGAGCTGGGGTCCAGAGGTTCCTGACCAAGGCAGCTAGAATTTATACCAAAGGCCATGTCCTCACCATGCTCTGCACCTCGAGACAAAGCTGTGCGTCCTCATTTCCTGAGAGCACAGAACTCCAGGTCCTGTTTGGAGTGCCTCTTCATCTTGGCATAAGGAAAACCCTTCTCTTTATAGGCTCTCCATGTCCTTCTGGCCCCACAGGCAGAGGCATTCATGGGTACACACTCACCCAGCCTTGGTCTGGAGGCAGCCCCATGTGGCAGGACAGACATGCAGACACTGGAGCATCTGTCACTACTGAGGGCAGTGATGAGGCTTTTGTGGTGTTTTGCACTACACACAGTCTTTACAAATCACGGATCTGTTTGGAATAGCATAAGCCATATTGTCTTTGTCTAGGTGAATGTTATACCATGTCCAAGATTTTACAGAATTAAATGAGTTTACCAAGCAATAGCACTGCCTCTGCTAAGGGCTGCATGTTGTTGAAAAGTCATTATCACTAACCAGGGGCTCTTTTCTTTTCCCATTGGGAAGCTGGTGAAAATGGCTTCTGAATGCAGCTGGTCAGACCCGCTGGTGGAGCTGCAGACCCTGACACGGCTGGCCCACTTTGCCTACGTGGCCCATGACCATGAGATCACCATGGCCTCCTCCGAGCAGGCCACACAGATGGGCGTCAAGTACCTGAGGACGCTGGGTCCGTAAGTAACCTTGGTAGTGATGCTCTAATGTTCAGACTGCATCTGCAGTTTCATCTTCTGAGTTCTTGTGTTTACTGTGTGAGGGCACCCACCCACATCAACAGGATTTGGTAGGAAGGTGGCACCTGCCTCCTGCTGAGTCTAAATTCCCACAAGGACAGGATCAGGCTGCAGTGGTAGCTCCAGAGCTGTGTTCACATAGCCAGTGATGATTTGGGAGTCACAAAGCAAAGCCACCCGTGATGTCTGTAACTTGTTAGCCTCCACCTATCCAGGGGCACAAACACACTGATGAGCAACCCCATGCCTGGTGCCTTAGAGAACGCTTACTCTTCTCAGCAGAAACGTGCTACCATTTTCAGATTCCAGATGAAGAAATTAGGTATGCGTAGGTTTAGCCACTCATCTTGGGCCACCCTGATGGCACTGCACTCCAGATACTTGGTTCTAAGAAACCCTTTGGCAAGGTAAGGCTATGCAGGTTAGGGGAGGGTTAGGTTGAGTCCAAAAAGTAGCCAAGATTCACTTTAAGGTTGGGCAACTGCGTAGCTTGCTGAGAAAGCAGCTATCTAAACTGGAGGGAAGAAGCTACTGTGAATACATTGAGAGGCACTGTGCAAAGGAAAATAGTGGCATGAGAAGGGAGCTTTGGAAATGTCAGAAAAACAGAAGTAAGGCACACTTAACACCAGTGAGAATCCTGCACATGCTCCTGGTGGTGCTGATGTTCCACCTTCAGCATTAATATTTCACAAAAAGAAATGATTAATCTTGACAGTTCAAAATCAAGTAAAAGCACAAACAACGTGCTGTAGTAGAGGAGAAAGAAAGTGCAAAAGGGTAAGGGGACCAGTGTCATTCTTCCCTCACCTGAGAAGATAAGCAGTCAAATGTCACTGGCCCAGGGTCCAAATGAGAGAGTGAGATACCATCCTAAGGTGCAAAGATAGTGACAAGGGGGAAATTAAGAATAACTCTCTTAACCAGTTGAGCTGTAAGGGACAGCAGAAGGTCTGAGTAAACTGAACCACATTTTCCATGATGAAAACCCTGCAGGGAACGTTGACAGTGGCAGATTGGGAGACCCTGCCAGGGACCGGTTTTTAGAGATGAGCATGTCCCTGGTAGACCACAGAGCTGCAGGGAACAGGGCTGGGAGGGGCCGTCGTCCTCCACTGTGTGCAGGTACCACTTCTATCACTCGAAACCAACTTTCAGAAGAAAGAAACTGGGAAGGCATCTCTCCCAAAAGAGTCAGTGCATGCAGCTGATGCATGCCACTGCCGTGTGCACAGGCACAGGAGGAGAGCTGGGTACCGCATAAAGGCTGGGCTACTGTTCCAACAGTGACCTTTAAAATGGATTTGACTTATAAAAGGGAATTTTCATAATCAAGACAAAGACGTATTTACATGTAAATGGTAATAGGGAAAGGAGGGGGTCATACAGGACTCTGAAACTGATACCCACTTTAGAACTTTAGAAGATCATGTGTAGACCATCCTCGCCCCCCCGTGGTGGTTGACGCCATTGTACTCTGTGGGATGTTCCTGTGTTTCGGTGGCTGTTTGCAGCCCTCAACCCTATTTGAGGCAGATCCCAGGTGCTGGGACACTGAGTAGACGTAGAGAAGCGTGGGTCTGCGCTCAATGAGAGATGCCACATGTCGTCATCTTGCTGCTCACTGTCAGAGCCCGGGGCCATTCTTCAGTCGAGCAGGACACAGGGGCACACACGGCCACAGGGTATCCCTGCAGATGACTAGCCTTGGTAAAAGTTTTGCTTTTTAAAAAATTTCACGTCTTGAATTTTCATCCAAAATGTTTCCGTTTTAAAAGTTGTGTGTACAAACTCTAGCATGGAATTTGTTAGAGTAATTTTTAACGGTAGCATTTCACAATAATAGCAAAAATAGTTTTCAGGCTGGTGAAAAATAATGTAGCCACTAATCAACTAACATTCTCAACTGTTAATGTGTAATTACCAAAATCAGTTTCACAGTCTGCTATTCATGTAAAGGAATATATATTAGTAAGAAATTTCATATATATATCCTTAAAACAGACACAAACTTAGTTAAGAAAACATAGCCTAAGAATGTCATTGGCACCTTCGTATTTTGCTCAAAATCTGTATTTCAAATAATCAGCAAGTGTGTTGGGTCTTTGCATACATTTAAGTCATTTTTAATACCAGTTCTGAAAAAGTAATGGGTGTCATACTGTTATGCTGAAAAAACTACCTGTAAAACTTGAAAATATACACAAAACAACTGCTTTCAGGTACTAGACAACAGATGACACAAGGATGTGATTCTTACAAAAAAGGGGCATTAGAAATGAGCCCCATATACACACTGGCATTCCCAGATTTTACAGCCTACAGTGCCTGGAAGGGCACCCAGATTGAAGAGCTGCCAGGGTGAAAAAGACAGTGCCCCTGCTATGGGAAGTCAGAGGAGGTCACCATGCTGAGGCTGAGGAACCTGAGACAATCCCCACAGCCACAAAAAAGGAAGGGAGGGAAGGAGGGAGGGAGGGGGAAAGAAAAAGAAAAGAAAGGAATCTGTGAGTCTGACCAGAGTCTCCATGCCCTGTGAGATGCTATCAGAGGTCTAATATGAATTTAGTTTGAGTCTGGGGACCAGAGGCAAAAAAGGCTGACAAAACACAAAGCTGGAAGCTTTTCGGATTGAATTAAAATATCAACCAAGAAATCCAAGATGTCAGTGGACCCTAAGCAAGATAAATGGACACATGGTTTTATTGTAGTCAATTTTCTGAAAGACAATAAGAAAATCTTGGAAAGAAGTTGGGGGTGCATTAGAATCAGGACAGCAAGGATAAGGATTGTGCTGATTTCTCATCAGGAACAATGCAAACCAGAATACAAAGGACATATTTTAAGTATTAATAAAAGGAAAAAGTCAATCTAGAATTCTGTAGTCACCAAAAAAAAAAAAAAAAGCCTTCAAAAATGAAAGGAAATCAAGATATTTTAATATTAAAAAAAGCTAAAAGAATCCATTACTGGCCCATTTGTAGAAGAGGAAACATTAAAAGAAATTCTTCATGCTGAAGGAGAATAACACTAAATGGAAACTTGGCTCAAAAAGTGATGACTGACACCCAAAATGGTACATTTTTGAGTTCTTAAATCCTATAAAAGATGGTCAACTTTAAAACAAAGTATTATTGCATTGTGGGATTTCTAAAAATGTGGAAGTACAGTGAATGAAAACAATAAGACAAAGGACAGGAATGAGATAACAGAAGTGGGAAGGTAAGGACTGTCACACTGTGTGGGAAACAATGTTGGATTAATTCAAGGCAGAGCTTTGGATAAGGATATACGTTGTAGCCCCTACAGCAAGTACTGAAGCTAAGACAAAACATGAGTTATAAGTAAAATTGTAATAAAGGAGATGAATTAAGATACCCAAAATATAGTTAATTTAGAAGAGGAGAGGAATGAAATCAGTTAAGACAAAAGCAGACAATGAAATGGCAGCTTTAGTTCCATTAACCACAGACAATCCAAACACCTGCAGTCATGGTGCAGTCATCCCACAGGTAGGGAAGGCAGGACTCAACTATGAGCTCTGTGCACTTGGAGCTCTTCCAACACACACACAAATTAGCAGTGGGAGCATGGGGAGGTTAGGGATTGTTCAAGCACCTAGCACAAGGGATGTGTCTCTGTCTGCCTGTCCCTCAGGATACCAGAGAGATACTTTCCAATGATGAGATTTAAAAATGCTAAATGTGTGTTCACGTACTAGCGAGCTTTAAGATACAGGAAGCAAAACAGTGGGTACACACACAGTGACAGCCACAGATTAATAATCCTCTTGGTAGCTGGTAGAACAAAACAACACAAAACGAAAAAACAGTAAAAACATAAAGAAACCCTGCCAACCAATCTAACCTTCCATGACATTGGTAAGAAATCCTACCTGACAGCTACATCATAAAGATAAACATTCCCAGGACATGGATACCAAAGAAAGGATACAGAGCCTCTCTCACAACCTGGGAGGTGGCCACACCCATTTCACAGGGTGGGTTCGGCTTCCTTACTGCCATTACACAGCCTGTTGCCCTGCAGACCACAGACTCTTACAGCGAGGTAGGTCCTCATATGCCTGGCTCCTTCAGGCAGAGTGGAGAAGAGGCTACACACTCTTCCTGCAAGAGGGGCTTCCAAGATCCTGGCCCCAGAAGGAAATCCCCACAGACAAACATATTTCCAGAGAGTAGATTCCGTGCCCGTTTGAGTTGCAATGACGTGCCCCTTGCAGTACTCGAAGGGGAGGGGATCACATCCTAGTGCAGGTGGTTTGTATGCCATAGCTGCGCTGGATCAGGAAACATGGGGAGAGCATCAGAAAGGTATGACACGTATCCAAAGTGCACCTCAGGGGTGTATGACCACCTGAACTCCAGATGTAGTGTTGCTAATCTGCAGCTTGATTTCTTGGGCCTGGGAAACACAGCCTGACAGAAAGAGCCCCAAAATGACTGGTTCTGTTAGTCCTTTGCTACACAACAACCTAACCCAAAATTAGTTGTTAAAACATACAGTTAAAGGTTCTTTCTCACAGTGCTGTGAGTTTACTAGACTCAGTTTATTCTGGGTTGGGGGTCTCATAAGGTAACTATCACGGGGGCCACCTGCCAGGAATCGCCCCCTGCCAGCTCACTCTCCTATCCTAAGCTCTCTCTCCTACAGCCAAGTGTCCCTAGGATGACTCTCCACCCAGGTGTGGGCACCAATCTGGCCACATGGCCTTTTCGAGTATGGTGGTTCTGGCGCTACAGGCAAGGTGACAAGGCCTCAGAAGTCCACCATCACTTGCCTTGCGTCAGTTGGGCAAGTCTCTCTGGCCAGCCCAGGCTCAAGGAGGGTGGGGTGCTACGCACAAGATGGGTTGGAAATGGCTTCTCCATCTGGGGTGCCACCTTGTAGGGCCACAGGTAAGGTGACAGCATTCCCAGTGAGGGAGGCCCAGCATGTGCCGCAGCCAGGCCTCTTTCTGAACCCCTCTGTTCTCCAGGGTAGAGGCCCAGCTGGTGGCGGAAATGCTGTGCACTGCTTCATGCATCCAGGGCCGGAGCATCATAGAGAACCTGAAGGGCAGGAAGCAGCTGCGGCTGGCAGCGGCCAAGGCCTTCCTGGAGAGTGCCAGGTGTGCTGCAAGCAGGGGCTCAGACACTGGCTTGGCAAATGCTATGTTACACTGACACTGGGAGACATCACCAAGAGCCGAGGGAGGGACTAGGTAGTGTGGGAAGTCACCTGCCCTCATCCTGCAGTGTGGCCCAGTGCTCAGAGTTGGGGACAGCTGTGGGCGGTCCTGTGAGAAGCTAGGGGCTCTGGAACAGGAGGGCTCAAAGGAGGGTTCTGAAGCATCCCGGGGCCTCAGTAGTGTCAGCTAGGGGGCAAGGTGGAGAGGTGGCTGGCAAACCCCGCCATTGCTCTGCAGCATGGGCAGGTCCTGGCCCAGCTGGAGAAGGCTTTGCTGAAGAAGTGTGCAGCAGACCCACCTACAGCCCCCATCCTATAGGACAGCCGAGGGCACCCTTCCAACACTAGCCTCATCCCTTCCCTCCTAAGTCCAGAAGCTTCTGGGGTGAGAAGCCACACATGGGCAAAGGTGTGGCCAAGCATCCCTGTGGATGGAACACCCTTTCAGGTTTGGAGGCATTGCAGGCCGCAGTGCGCTGGTGATGATGGCCACGCGGCACTACTGGAACACCTGGCTCCCGCTCCTGTCCTCAGCAGTCAACAGGAAGAAGGCCAAGGGAGCCGTTCAGAAGATCATCAAGATTATCAACAAGACAGAGGCCACAAAGGAGGTGCTTTGGGGGTACAGGCGGGCCTCCAAAGGGCCTTCCAACAGGCTGGGCAGACCCCCAAGGAAAGATGCCACATGGCACTCTTCCCCAGGTCACAGCATTGCCTGCTGGAGGCTGGTGATGTCCCGAGATCCCACCAGGATGGAGTGCTCATTGCTGACCTTAGTGCTGACCTCACACTTTCCCCCTGGTTCTGAAGAGTCTCCTCCCTCTTCTTTTTTACCAACTTTTAAACAATAGATTTTTCTCTGTTGTTTTTCTGTTCTTTATTCTGTTTTTCTCTACTCTGGTTTTTATTCCTTCTGCTGGTTTTGTGTTTAATTATTTTTCTGGTATCTTAAGAATTAGATTATGACTTGAGACCTTCCTTCCTTGTTACCAATGGCATTCACAGCTGTAAACTTGAATTTGAGCACTGCTTTTGCTGCCTTCCCAAAGTTTTTTCTGTTGGGTTTCTGATCCCAGTGATGTAGAACCTAACCCTGACTTGGATGTTTCATGTCATTGGAAAACTATGTGTAACGTATATGTGGTGTGTGTGTGTATGTGTGTGTGTGTGTGTACCTAACCTTGCACTGAGGACCCTTTCTTATGGGTGAAATACGATTTAACTTTTTGTGACTTAATACTTCTAAATTTCAACGTGAGTGAATTTATTACAACTTATTACAGACACAGATGCAAAGAAAAATGGTGGAAAACACTTTGCAGCCTTCAGAATGTGTGTTTGTTTTCCTCCAGGAAAAAGGGCAGACACTGCTCCTGCACCAGTGGCCCACGGCAGACTTGCAGAGTGGTGGGACAGCAACTGAAGGTCATTTCCTTCCAGGTCAGCAGGAACAAAGCCACAAAGGCCATGGGCTCCAGGCTGAGGGGAGGGAGGACTTAGCACAGGTCAAGTCTTCCATGCTTTCACATCCTGTGCCCTTGCAGGAAGCCTTCACCACAGCTATGCCCACCACAGGCCAATCTGTCTGCATTTTATGCTTTTCATGAGGTCCACATGAGAGCTCATTATGTACAGATGCAAAGCCCAGGGCCTCCCTGAGCAGCCAGCCCTGACCTTCCCAAGTCCAGCTCTTGGAACTGATGCTGGTGGAGAGGGTCACAGCTGTATGGGAAGTCATGCAATGAGCCTGAGATGCTGGAGGTCTGGTACTACAAGGTGGGTCCTGCTTGCTTCAGGCCACCACAGTCCTGGTGCTAACAGGTGCCGAGTTAAACTTGAGGGCCAATCACCTCACAGCCGATGTCTCACTGAGCAACTCCTGTCACTTATCTCCTTGCTTCCAGCAGTGTAGAGCCTCTTTGTGCACCATAAAAACAGGACAAGTTATCTGTGGTCTCAGATCTAGAAAGTGGCATGTGTGAGGTGGTGCTGGTAGCCTCTATGCTGTGGTGTAACACACCCATGAACCCCACAATGACTGAGTGTCCCATGCTAACCTTTCATATTCCCAGATGTCATGCTGCTTCTGCTAAAACTGATGGGGAGCAGGTGGCAGAGACCAGCCAGGAAACTCAAGGAGTTGGTTTCCTCAGACCTGTGGTCCCTGGGCAGGTGGTAGGTGAGACAGGACATAGGTCGACCCCTCACATCAGCCCTGCCGGACAAGATGGCCTGTTGGCCTAACCTTGCACTGAAGATGCAAGGCTCCAAATCGGGGACTGTGACACAGGGGGCCCCAGGAGGTCAGAGGTCAGAGGGCATCAGTTAGCAAGGAGTCTGGCAGTCCAGCTGTTTCTAAAGCTCTCTTCCTTGTCCCAGACACTGAGGACGACCTTACACTCCGCGTTGCACTCTATGGCCTGCTCTTCCATAGCCACGCTGACCAGGAGGACTGGATGGGAGGCCTCAGGGTGCTGGATGAGGCTGTGCAGGTGCTGCCTCGAACTGCCCACCGCCTGTGAGTGACCGCCCTCTCCACCCACCCAAGTGCTTCCCGCACTGCCCCACCTGGGCTCCCCAACTTTCCCATTCTGTTGAAGGACCTCATCTCTCCAGTAGAAATTTGACAAGGACAGGTAACACACAGCACAAAAACCCAACTCAATTTCTATCTGATTTTATCCCTGTATGCAGAAACATGGACAAATTGAGTTTTGTATGCTTTTTGCTTTCCTCATTGGGTTTATTGGTACATTTTAGGTATACAGTACAGTTACATTCATCATTGGGACCTTGTACCTTTATATGACAGATCTTGGTTCTCATTCTTTCCCCATACCCTTGCCCTCCCTGCACCCTCCCCTTTTCCTATTTACAAACACTTTATTTCAGTTTTTTCATTTTCTCATATTTTTTATTTTCCCTTATTTCCTTTCCCCTACCCTTTCCACTTTCCCTACACCTTTAGCCCTTTTCTTCCTATTACACATTGTAAATTACATCATTAGGATCTTACTTACGATTATAGTTTTTCACACAAGAGAAACTATTTGATATTTACACATGTGTGACATTTATTTCACTTAAGAGTATAACTGCAATATGCATCCATTTTCCTATGAATGACTCTCATTTCTCATTCTTTATGGCTGAGTAATATTCCATTTTATAGAAAAACCACATCTTCTTTATCCAGTTTCCAACTGATGGGCACATGGGCTATTTCCAAGCTTTAGCTATTACAAACTGTTCCACTACAAACATGGGTGCGCATATATCAGTGTGGTATGATTCATTTGATTCTTTTGGAAAGATACCCAGCAGATGGATGGCTGGGTCAAATGGAACCTCTAATCCTAGTTCTTTGAGGTATCTCCGTATTGATTTCCACAGTGGTTGCACCAGTCTGCACTCCCACCAACCATGGAGAAGGGTACCTTTCTCCATCCCCACCAATATTTGTTATTGACGGATTTCTTGATAGCAGCCATTCTTTGTGGGGTGAGGTGGAATCTCATTGTTTTCATCTGCATCTTTCAAATGACCAGTGATGTGGAACACTTTTTCATATATTTACATGATGCTTTTGCTTCTTTGTCTGAGAAATGTCTGTTCATTTCAGATGCCCATTTTTGAATTGGGTCTTTAGATTGCAGGGGGCTGGTTTTTTTATTTCTTTATATATTCTAGATAATAGTCCTTTATCCGAGGAGCAGCTGGTAAAAATTTTTTCCCACATTGTAGGTTGTCTCTTAGTTCTGTTGATGCTTTCTTTTGGATGTTTTATGTATGTTTAGATTTTGGGTTTTTTTTAAACAGGCTCTCACGATGTGGTTCAGGCTAGCCTCAAATTCACAGTGATTCTCTGGCCTTAGCCTCTCATGTGCTGGAATTACAGGCCTGTACTACCACACCTGGCTGTATGCTTAGAATTTTATCATTCAACTGGAGCATTGACTTCTCTCTTTGGCTTTTCTTTAGTTTGATTTTCAAACATATGGTCATTGTGAAGGCTAAACTTGGCCAGAACTTTACCATGGAAATCCAAAAGTTCAAGAATGAAAGTGAAGACTATTTGGCACACATGTGGCACCGCCTGGCCTTGAACTCGAAGAATATCTGTGGAGAGCTGACGTGTTATCACAACGCAATTCAAGCATTGCAGGTCTGTGTCTTCTCAAATTTGGGTGATCGTGAATAAAACCCATCTTCTAATTACAGAGATCACCATGTGATGAGAGGCCTGTGGTTTAGGATTTACTGGGTAAACACTTAAGGGAGCCACTGCTGAGGGAGCCCCCAGGCAGGTTGGGGACTTTCCTTTGATGAGAGCCAGGAACTGTGGGCTGACCTGCCCTATAGTCCAGTATGGAAAAGGGGCTAACCAGAGACAGGGTAGGGTGGGAAAGCCTTTTTCCTGGGAGGCTAGAATTGCTGAGGGGACAGAGCTCTATTGACTTGGGGATCTTGGGGACATTTGCTCCCTCATCAAGAGATTCAGATGACATTCCACTCAGTGTAGTTGGGGTTGCTGGGGAAGGTGGGTCTCAGGAGCAAGGCGTGGAGGACTCACCTGAGGACTTACTAGTAGGCACTAAAGGTGTCCCGGGCCTCTGAGCTGAAAGACCTGAACCATTAGTCAATACCTTAAAAGATTTTTCTGTTTCCTGGATGTTTCCAGGACCCTGCACACATCCTATGCTGAGCCCTGGGCTGCTGCAGGGTCCAGGCAGCCCTGGGTGAGGGATGTGGGGTAGAGGCTGCCCAGGTGCAAATAGCTCTGTCATTTGCCCTGGCTGCCTATCTTGGCCCAGAGAGGATGACACCAACCTGGGCACTGCTGTGAGTGGAAACTCAGAGCTGGTTTTCCTTGCAGTTTCCCTGCTGATCTTTAGGGATCACACATCAGGTGATGACCAATGTACAGGGGAGCAGAAGGCCGGCCCCTGAGGAGAGCAGCAGAGCCCAACACGCAGGGTTCCCCTCTTGAGGGAGTCTGTCCTCACTGACCATGAGGCCTATTTTCCATTATTTGGGGGTGTAAAATGATTCTTAGTAGATTCAGAGTTACACAACCATCAGACAATCAATTTTAGGACTTTTTGTCACACATTTCCCAAATTAGTGTCCATTAGCACTCAATCCCCATCCCCAGTCTCTGTTGTCACCTGTTCTAGACCTTTCACTTAGATGAAATCAAGTACTTGATGGCCCTTGGGTCTGGCTGCTTTCCCTGAGCGCTGTGTCATCAAGTTTCATTCTCACTGTAGATTATTCTGGCCTACATTACTTTTCGTGTCCAAATAATATTCCATTAATATATATATATACTTTGAATATCTATTAGTCCATTGATAGGATTCAGGTTGCTTTCCATCGTTTGCCTCTTGTAAATAGGGATGCTATGAACTTATATGCACATGTGTTTGCATGGCCCTGTGTTCTTGTTTCCTGAGGGTGTGTACCTAGAAGTGGAATCACCGGGTCACAGGTAGCAGTGTCTCTTCGCTTGAGGTGTTGCACACAGTGTCCCCAGTAACTGCCATTATAGTCCCCCGTTATAGTCTCCCTATTACAGTCCCCCATTATAGTCCCCCGTTATAGTCCCCCATTGTAGTCTCCCTATTACAGTCCCCCGTTATAGTCTCCCTATTATAGTCCCCCATTATAGTCCCCCGTTATAGTCTCCCTATTATAGTCTCCCATTATAGTCCCCCATTATAGTCCCCCGTTATAGTCTCCCTGTTATAGTCCCCCATTATATTGCCCCGTTATAGTCCCACCACATCATGGCTCAGGATGTTAACTGGGCTCGGGTGTCCTGGCGGGTGTGGGAGTCCCATTGTGTTTTGATTTGCATTTTCCTAATAACTAATGATATCAAGCATGTTTGGGGGAGTAAAATAGCTATTTGCCTGTCTTCTTTGGAGAAATATCTATTCAGATCTTTTGTTCATTAAAAAAATATTAGTACATATTTGCCATTCATAAAGATCACATTCATCATAGGGAATTTGTACCTGTACACAATATGTGTTAATTTTTCTTTTTTTCCCATTTCCTTCCTTTCTTTCAACACTTCCCCTTTACAAAATTTTGTTTCCATTTTCCCTTCCATTCTCACTTGCAACCCTCTTTCCTTTTTTCCCTCCCCCCTCTCACTTGTTCCCCTTCTCATTTGAACGTGCTCTTCCTTCTTCACATCTATCCTCCATTTTGCTCCTTCTTTACCCTTTGGGCTTCTCAACAAGAGGAACAACGTGATATTTAAACATTTCACTTAACATTACGGTCTTGAGGTACATCCATTTATCTAAAAATGAGTCAAGTTATCATTATTTATGTCAGAGTACTACTCCATTGTACATAAATACCACATTTTCTTTCTTTCTTTCTTTCTTCCTTTTTTTTTTTTTGGTACTAGGGATCAAACTCACGTGCTTGCGCTTGTGAGTCAGGCAGTGGCACCACTGAGCTAAATCCCCAGCTCTACCACATTTTCTTTATCCATTCATCTTTTAATGGATATACGGGTGGTTCCAAGATGTAGCTATTATAAATTGTGCTTCTATAAGCATGGGTATGCATATATCACTGTGGTACGATGCTTTAAACTCTTTGGGGAAGATACCTAGAAGGGCCATAGCTGGGTCAAATGGAACCTCTAGTTTTGACTTTTGGGAAATCTCCATATTGCTTTCCGTAGAGATTGTATCAATTTACACTGCCACCAACAGTAAAGAAGAGTTCCTCTTTCTCCACAGTCATGTCAGAATTTGTTATTGGTTGATTTCTTGGTGATAGCCATTCTTTCTGAAATGAGATGAAATGTCAGTTCTTTTTTTCTTTCTTATTTATTTATTTATTTATTTATTTATTTTGGTACTGGAGATCAAGCTCAGGACCTTGCACTTGCAAGGCAGGTGCAGTGCCACTGAGCTAAATCTCCAGACTTTAGTGTTCTATTAATTTCCATTTCTCAAATGACCTGTGATGTTATTCATTTTTTTATTTGCTCTTTGTACATCTTCATCCGAGAAGTATCTGTTTCAGATGCCCATTTTTTTAATTGGGTCTTTAAGTTTGGGGGCTCTGACTTTTTAAGTTCTTTGTGCATTCTAGATATTAGTCCTTTGTCTGAGGAGGAGCTGGTAAAAATTTTTTTCTCATTCTGTGGGTTGTCTCTTCACTCTGTTGGTATTTCTTTTGCTGTGTAAAAGCTTTTAAATCTGATGTGATCCTAGTTGCTGATTCTTTGTAATATTTCCTGTGTGATCAGGTTTTGTTCATAAAGCCTTTGCCTACACCTATGTCTTACAAAGTTTTACCTATTCTATCTTCCAGTAGATTGTTTCTGGTTTTAATATTTAGATCTTTGATCCATTTCAATTTTAGTTTACTACAAGTGAGAGATATGGATCTAGGTTCAGTCTTCACCATGTGGAAAGCCGGTTTTCACAGCACCATTTATTTAAGAGGTTATCTTTCTTCCAGTGAAGGTATTTGGCCCCTTTGCCAAAGATAAGGTAGCAGAGTATGCTTGAAGTTGTCTTTGCATCTTCTGTTCTGTTCCACTTATCCTTGAATCTGTTTCTTTGCCAGTACCATGTTGTTTTTTGTCATGGTAGCTTTGTGTTATAATTCAAATATGAGATTGTGATACCACCTGCCTTGCCCTCGCTGCCTGGAATTGTTATTCTAGCTTTCTACTAGTTTGGTATGAATTTTAGATAGTTTTCCTTATTCTTTGAGGCATGTTGTTGGTATTTTGATTTGAGATTGCCTTAAACTTTATAACAGTTTTGGGAGTATGACCATTTTTATACTGGTTCCACCTATGCAAGAACAGGTGATATCTTTCCATTTTCTGATATCCTCTTTAATCTTTTTCAGAGTAGTATAGTTCTCATGTATAGGTCTTTCACTACCTTCATAAGATTGATTCTGAAGTATTTCATTTTTCTTGATGCTATTATGAAAGGTATTGTTTCCCTGATTTCTCTGTCAGTGAGTTTGTTATTCCTGTACAGGAAGGCTATTGATTTTTTAGTGTTGACTTTGTGTCCTGCTGTGCTACTGAATTTGGCGGAGTTTTGGGGGTCTTCTGTGCAGAGCATCATGTCGCCTGCAAATAATGATAAATTGAATTTATTCATTTCCTACCTTTATTCCTTTTATTTATTTCTCTTATCTAATTGTTCTGGCTAATGTTCCCAGAACTATATTGAACAGGAACAGTGATGGTGGAAATCCTTGTCTTGTTCTTGATTTTAGAGTAAAAGTTTTCTGATGATTTAGTATGATGTTGGATGTTGGTTTGTCATAGATAGCTTTTATCAAATTGAGATAAAGACCTTCTATTCCAAATTTCTGTAGACTTTTTATCAATATGGGTGTTGGAATTTGTCAAATGTTTTTCTGCACTATTAAGATGATTATGTGGCTTTTGTCCTGGGTTCTGTTAATGTGGTGTATTGTGTTTACTGATTGGCATATGTTGTATGATCTCTGTATCTAGGATGAATCCTACTCAGTTATGGTGTATAATTTCCTTGATGATTTGCTTCATTCTGTTTGCCAGTACTTTTTTGAGGATTTTTTGCATTAGGAAGTTTGGCCTGTAGCTCTCTTTTTTGGTTGTATTCTTCTCTGGTTTTGGTATCAGGGTAATGCTTGCTTCCAGGAATGACTTCGGGAGTATTGCTTTCCTGTCAATTTCATTAATGAGTTTGAGTAGTGGCATTAGATCTTCTTTAAAGTCCTTGTATAGTTTAGCAGTGAATCCATCAGGACATAGGCTTTTCTTTGTTGGTAGGTTTTTAATGACAGCTTCAATTTAATTGACTGATATTGGGTTATTTAGAATCTTTATAACTTCTGGATTCAGCTTTGGTGATTCATATGTATTTAGGAATCTATTGATTTCTTCTGTAGTTTTCGTCTTACTAGAATACAGGTTCTTGAAGTAGGTATTAATGATCTTCTGGATTTCTGTAGGATTTTCACCCTTTTCATTCCTAATTCCGTGAATTTGAGTCTTTTGTTCCCCTTTTTTTATAAGGTTGGTTAAGGTTTTGTTAATTTTATAATCTTTCAAAGAATCAACTCAATTCATTGATTCTTTGACTTATTTTCTTAGTCTCAATTGCATTGATTTCTGCTCTA